GTCCCTAGCTTTCTTCCAACCTATTCCTACACCAGAAAACATAGCACGTCGGGGCAGTCGGTGGTCGGACATACGTAACACATGTCCCAGCCATCTCAACTGATTAAGTTATCTAATGCTATTCCTGGATGAGAAATTGTGTCATTTCCCCATTGGTCAACATACTTCCTACGTGTCATTTCCTATTGGTCAATATTTATTTGTGTCATTTCCTGGAGGTCAAATCTTGTACAAATGTTACTTTCTATTTATAGTACGATGTAGTCTGTTTGTTTGGTTTATAAACAGTGTATGTTTGAAATATAACGATTCATATCACAGAGGCTGAGACTTGCGTTCTGGACTCAACTGACTGGGCTAGACAGGGAAGCAGGGCCAATCAGAACTCTAGGCTGTTCTTACGTATTTACGCGTCTTTGGTCCGATCAATAATCCTTTCTCTCCTCAAATCGCACGTCCCACTCTCTCACAGTTATAACATTCCTGAAATATACTCTTAGCTTGAATACCATTAAGCAGGACCCTAAGGCGTTTCCTTGCACCATCTTTCCTACGTCCAGTAAGGCGGAGACAAATACGCGCTCGCACTAGAGCATGATCTAAGCATGTGCTCCAGAATGAGCGACAGTCTTCTATCGAGCCCCTCCATCGGTGGCTGATAGCGATGTTATCTATTTGGGTCCAGCGTTGAGACGAATTAGGGGGTCGCCATGTCAAAAGATGTTTTTCCTTATGCTTAAAATTAGTTTTGCAAGAAAGAGACGGTTATCTGAGCATAGCTGCAACAGACGGTCGCCGTTATCTGTTCTTTGAGCCGCGACACCATAAGATCCACCCAGGTGTCTTTCCCTTTCGCTTAGTTTACCTACTTGAGCATTAAAGTCACCAGCCACTATTATTACATCTGAACGCTTAGCTTTTCGGAGAAGATCGGAAAGCTTTCTGTAAAACTCATCTTTTACATTATCTGAGCTGAAGTCAGTGGGAGAGAAGGCAGAGACGACGAAGAGGCAACGACGAGTGTCCCTATCTTTTCGAGTCCTTACTGTTCCGTTTAGTCGGACAGCACACAAACGACTGTCTACTGGGATCCAGTCTAAGAGAGCTAGTTCTGCCCTAGGACTCAATGCTATACCTACGCCAGCGAGGCCACGGGAAGCAGCATCAGGGCTTCCAGATACACGAAGCGTAAATCGAGTTGGTGAGGTCAAATGAATGACACTACTTGGATTCTGTGTGCGCGTTTCGGAGACGCAGCACACATCGATGGAGCGAGATTCTAAAGTCTTAGCTAAGGAAGCCTGTTGTCTTATTTGGCACAGTGTTCGGACGTTGAAAGCTCCTACGTGTAGTGTAAAGCGTGGTTTCAGGAGACCAGGAATAACGTGCCGCGTACTCAAATCGTTTGCACTAGCGGGGCGAGATTATTAAGCAACGTGAGAAGGGTTGGTCGTGGAGATAAGAGAGTTATTAGGAGGTGTAGGAAGGATTTGAATGTGACCAACTTGGTCTCGTGTGCTGTTACGGGTATGAGGGCTGATGTCACTTCCTGGCTGCCCACATCGTGGAAGGGTATTTTTTGAGGAACCTGAAAAGAAAATCGGATTAGCGTTGGTCTTAACGACCTGGGTGCGTGATCGCAGAGCCCAAGCGACAACTGCTTGAGGCCAGTCACGCATGGCTTTCTCGTGGGAGGATTTTAATGTGTTAGCTCCGTTCTTTAAAGGGCCTTACCGCCGGAGACGGGAATCCATGGGGTAAGGTGAGGTGTGACATTTTTAGGGTCAACCTTTTCTAACCCCTTCCTTTCTTGTGAGAAGGCAGCATTGCTGCAGATGCTGGTTGTCCGAGGAAAACACCTTACTGCTGTCACACCTCTGTACAGTCAGCAGTACGACTTCGCCTTCGGACCTTCGTTTTGTTACTTTTAGTCTTACCGTTCTCCAATCGACCTGCCTGGCATGGTAGAACCTGCAGGAACATGTGTTCCAGCCAATGTAGCTCGGTTGGGTCATCACGATGGGCAAGCCCAACCACCACGTCAAGGTAGCAGCTACGGTCTGGGAACAAGCGGGCTACTCGGTATGACTAACTCTATCTGTTTCCAAAATGTAAATTAACACCGTTAGTATACAAATCAAAGAAACTAATATAGTCTATTAAAGAGAAAAAAAGAGAGAGATAAATAACATACTAAACAGTAGCTAGAGGACAGGAAAAGTGATTATTTTATAAACTGTTCACATAGTCTCTACATAGTCTATTTCAAATGTAGAAAGTCACTAAACTTAATATAGATAGGAAATCGAAACTTGTAAACTTGATCATGAGTTTAATAACTATAGGTGTACTAGGAACTCAGAAAGTTGGGATGGACTAACGGCCAACTGTCATCAAAGTTTAAGTCACATAAGGTGTATAGTAGCCTAATCCTCATTCAGGCTTGTATATGTTCAAATCATGTAAACCTTTGATTTGATCCATTTGGTAGATAAAATGTTATTTTAGTCCATAATAATTTCCCGACATATTTTACACATACCCTTAAGCTTGTGCAAATAAGTATGTTTGATTAAGTGCAAGCTGAAGCCTACTCACTTCTCTTGACCAGATAAATATTAATTACCTAGACGTTTGATGAACCATTCGTGAACGCTATAGGTTGGCTTGTTGAACTACATCTATTAATTCATCTCCCTCACCACGCACTGGCTAGTCGCCTACTTTGATGTGCTTGAAATAAACTGTTCTGCCCACTTCGTTTGACTTCTGGAATTTATAGAGTTCAGGAATCATCGTAGTAACGGTTGTCTCATCAATCAATATGAAAAGTATTGGAATAATTGCAGAGGTATCTGTAATAAGTATATTCATAAATTAATCATGATGTCACGTTTTCATTTTTATTACCACATTCTTACCTTTTCAAAATTCCAAAGGCTATGTTGAAAGCATAAAATTCAGTTAACCTGTTTTTGCTTCGAGAATAACTGCATAAGTATAACACAAGAAAATCTTACTGAAATGAGATGTAACATAAATTAACATCAGTTTAATTTTCTTACTGAAACAGTTATATTACTCAGTATCCTTAAAGTACTAAACTTAGATATAATCTCAAAAGAGGTTATTAAATATAGTTACATGGCATAATTGGCTTATCGGGTAGCAGATAAAATATTCATTCAGACTTTTAAGCCTGCAAATAGTTATCAGTTGGTTAGAGAATTCAGTTGAAGTTTTGAACACAATTATGGCTTTCTAATAATTATTTCATATTAACTCATACATACGTGAATCGAATGTAACGAAATACACGGCGAATCAGTCGTACTGAACAATCAGTGTTCTTTCTATTTGGTTTGCAATACATAAAGGGGACTTGATGTATTAAACACTATAATTTTCTTCCATTTTTCAGTTATAAAATTATGAGGATAAAATGGATCGAAAATTACAAACATCATGTTCTGAATTAACTAGGTGATACAGAATTTATAACATCACGTGGATATACTGAAATCTATCAGGGGGATTAAACAATAATCGAGCTCTATTATTCTCAAGTCATATCAACCAAACTACTCAAAGCGGATTTATACATTCAAAAAGAAATAATCGTAAATCATTTCTTACGATTGCTGTTAACATTACATCATTCTTGTAATTCTTTCTCGTAATTTTGATTTCTTTCAAATTCAAAGCTATTTTAAAATGACTGATTTCAACCCATATCTAGCTACTCCATTACATAATCAATGATTTTTTTTCTAGCCACTATGTTCTATATTCTATGATCTTCTCTTGCTCACCGTTTTGATTTGCAATACATTTTCTGTTTTTCGTTTTCAATTTTTTTCACTAAATTTATTCAAATCAACACTACAATGATGATGCACATTTAAAACTAACAAACAAATTTCTCTTTTATTTATAAGTATATTGACTTTATGAGTGTCTTAATATTACGAATTGATAAATTGTAAGTAGCTGTGACTCCTGGTGATCGAGTGGATAATGAAGACGTCAACATCTGAGGGGAAGCATGAGATGCAGCTGTACGATCTAGAGTTCGCAGATTAACTGACCCTTCTATCGCACATGAAACAACAAATGCAGCCTCAGAAGCAGTAGATCTCGACATGCAAAAACCTTCAAATATCTGGGAAGCATCATTGAGGAACACGACGGATCTGATGCAGATGTGAAGACGCGAATCGGCAAAGAAAGAGCAGTATATTTAAAACTGAGGAACAACTGGAACTCAAAACAATTGTCAACCAACACCAAGGTCAGAATTTTCAATACAGATGTCAAGACAGTTCTACTGTATAGGGCGGAAACTTGGAGAAACACAAAAGTCATGATCCAGAAGATACAAGTGTTTATTAACATCGGATCCGTTGGCAAAACATTATCAGGAACAATCTACTGTGAGAGAAAACAAATCAGATCGTAGAGGAGGAAGAAATCAGGATGAAGCAGTGGAGTTGGATAGATTACACATTGAGGGAAGCACTAAACTGCGTCACAAGGCATGCCCTCACTTGGAATCTTCAAGGCCAAAGGAAAAGAGGTTGACCAAAGAACACATTACGTCGAGAAATAGAGACAGATATGAGAAGAATGAACAAGCATTGGATAGAAATTAAAGGGAATGCCCAGGACAGAGTTAGTTGGAGAATGCTGGTCGGCGGCCTATGCTCCATTGCGAGTAACAAGCGTAAGTAAGTAAATATCTGTGAAGAGACAAATAGAATAAAATCAAATCATATTGATTCAGTTCCATAAGTTTTCAACAATTAAACATTTATTAATATAAATCCCTAAAAAAACGATAATTAAAACAATTTTAATTGGTTTATTATTCTTACTGATTTCAGTTTAGACCAATCAAATACATCCTAGTGATTTATTTAATTTTATTTGTTTTAATTTTCAAAGAATAAAGTAATTTTTACTTATAAACTTTAATAATTATTTATATTTTATTATTTAAAATGAAATTAGTATTTATTATATTATTTATATTATATTATATAATCAAGGAACATTTTCATTGTTCATCAATAACTCCTTTATGTTCATTAGATTCTAATCAAATTAATATAATTCATAGTTATATTATTTTAAATAAAACAGAATATTTTTGTAAAGCGAATCAATTATGTGCTGATTATGGTAAAAAAACAAATCAAATCTCTTATCTGATTGGTCAAAATTATAAAAATGCAATGAAATGTTTTCCAAATCATTCATTTTGGACTAAAATAAATCAAATAAATTTTTTACTATTAAAAAATAATAATTTAAGTAATTATTGGATAGATGGATTATCTAGATCATATTTAATGAATGAATTAGAATCAAATTTACCTTCTTTTTATGAAAATAAATCTTTATCTAATGGAAAATATATTGCATTTTATAATCATTTAGATGATAAATTACAAACTACTTTAACAAATAGAACTAATGAAATTGATGTAGTTTGTGAAATAGAACAAAATGTTATAAATAATAAAATTAGTAATAATCAAAATGATAATCATTTTATTCAATTAAAACAATTTCAAAAATGTTCGAATGTAAATACCGAAGAATTATTATCACCACATGAAGATTTTGATGGATGTTATTCACAAAATAGAGAATCAAATTTACAATATTGTGCTTATAGGTTAGTTTAAAAGAAAAATTTAAACGTAATCATTCCTTATTTTTGAATCATTTCATTCTTAAATTGATGATTATTAAACTAGCAGTTATATTTTCTGAGAAAAATAATATTCCATCTATCAGTTGGAGTAGGTTTTCTAAACTGAATTAGTAGTAAAGGTGATAATCATCACTGTATCAAATGCTTTGATTATGAAATTAATTATTACCAGGGTAGTGTTACTGTCTAGTGAAGGCTTCAATACAATAAACAATAATTATCTAACGTAGATAAACAGCTAATTTCTTTATGCTTAAGTGATAGTGCATATAGGGATTTATGAATTACATTCTGAGAATGATTTTAATTGCTCCATAAAATATTAGTATAAACTTGGTAAAAATCAAATTATTTTCAACAATCGATTGATAATTGGAGTGTAACCAATGTCATGAGTGTCAGGTCTTTTTTAGTGCAGATCAAATTTGTTATAAACGCGTAGTTTTGCCGGTTAGAGAGCAGCGTATTATCGATCGGAACAGTGACGCATAAAATACAAGCGAGCAGCCTAGAGTCCTGATTGGCCCTGCTTCCCTGTCTAGCCCAGTCAGTTGAGTCCAGAACGCAAGTCTCAGCCTCTGTGATATGAATCGTTATATTTCAAACATACACTGTTTATAAACCAAACAAACAGACTACATCGTACTATAAATAGAAAGTAACATTTGTACAAGATTTGACCTCCAGGAAATGACACAAATAAATATTGACCAATAGGGAAATGACACATTGGAAGAATATTGACCAATGGGGAAATGACACAATTTCTCATTCAGGAATAGCATTCGATAATTTCTGATGTATTTTCTGAATACCCCAACACCTCCCCTTTTTTTGAAGCGTTAGAGATAATAATGATCCTTTGGATTTATTTTTATTCGATTAGGTTTCCGCCTGATGCGCTGAGACCTTCTCAGGAGTGTTGTATGCGTCTTGTTATTATTCGGGTCATTTTTAATTTCATTATCCGACTCAGTTAATATATTTATTGGTATATTCGACTTTATACAATTTCCTGTCTCCCGCTCCTGTCTGGTTGGCCGTATCTGGTTTGCGTGTCGCACACATATCTTTTGTCCAACTTTGAAGGTACAATTACTCGATTTCCAAACATCAAGCACCCGTCCACAAGTGATAGAGAATTTCGACGGTGAGAATACTGTTCAATATTTTTGTTGTCTATATGGGTAGGCCAACCATGTTCGAGGTATCCAATAATCTGCTTCAGCTCATTGTCTTCTTGAGTATGGTATTTAATATCTTCAGAGGATAACGGGGTTGCTTTTATAGCAACTTGTAGTATATGATGAATATCATTTTCCAACGATATCGTCGCGATAATAGAATCTTCGCTTTCCTGCTTCTGATTCGCAATTAATCGGGATAAAGCAAGCAACGTAATAGCCCAGTGTTGTAATTGATTCGCTTTATATGCAGGAATACCTGACTTCGATCCAAATATAGATAAAAGCGGCTTGTGGTCCGTTAAGAGGGTAAATCGACGACTATAAATCATTTAATGGAATTTCTTTACTGCAAAAACTAAAGCTAGTCCTTCCTTCTCAATCTGACTATATTTTCCCTCAGCTGAGTTAAGAGTTCGGGATACATGAGCAATTGGTTTTTCTTTACCATCAGGAAAACGATGACTGATAACAGCTCCAATTCCATAGTTTGAACCATCGGTGGCTACAATTATTTCAAGCTTAGGATTATAATGAGTCAGCAACAGTTTAGAAGATAAAATCCTTTTTATTTCATCGAAAGAATCTTGACATTCCTTTGTCCAGTTCCATGTTGTATTAGTCATCAAGAGTTGATTTAATGGATGTCGCAATTTATACATATGGGGTACGAACATACTATAATAATCAATCATCCCCAAAAACGAGCGAAGGGTTGTAACCTCAGTCGGTCTGGGCATATTTTTGATGGCATTTATATTGTCTGGATCTGGTCGACGACCATTTTTATCAAATATATATCCAAGGTATTTAACAGACTCAAGCAGAAATTCACACTTTTCTTTTTGTAACTGAAAACCGGCTTGTGATATTTTTGTGAGCACCACGTCTAAGCGACCCATTAATTCCTGCGCAGAAGAGCCAACAACTATAATGTCATCCAAGTAAACTGCTACACCTTCGACGTTAGACACCATAGTATCCATTATTTGCTGGAAAATTGCTGGAGCTGGCTTAACACCAAACGGTAATCGGTTAAATCGATAGAGTCCACGGTGGGTATTAATAGTTAATAACTCCTTTGAATCTTCGTCAACTTCTACTTGTAAGTAAGCTTCAGATAAATCAAGTTTAGAAAAATAACGTCCACCGTTCAGTTTAATAAATAAATCCTCTGGCAAAGGTAATGAGTATGAATGATTTTGTAAAGCGTCATTTAGTCCTGTTGAAAAATCTGCACAGAGGCGAACAGCTCCGTTCGCTTTCTGAACCACTACAATTGGTGCTGCCCATGCCGAATAATTGATAGGTTGTATAACACCGAGCTTCTGTAGTCGGTCTAATTCTTTGTCGACTTTGTCAATAGCCGCATATGGAACTTGACGTTTTGGACGGAAAACAGGTTTTGCATCCTGTCGTAAGTATAATTTCGCCTTCTCAATTGTGCAGCATCCCAATTAATTCTGAAACAAGTTTTTATGCTTCTGCAAAAGATCTTCTATCGTTACGACTTTCTTAGTTACATGGACTGTGGGTGGATCGCTAAGATTATTTGCGCTTTTCATCGAGCATATTTCACTTAATGGTACATCCCATAAATTTAGTTTATCTATCCAGTCTATACCAATAAGGTCTAATTCATGTCTGTTCGTTAAGTAACAATTTCCTGTAAAGTAATTACCTCGGAATTTAACAGAGCATTTTATCATCCCAACAAGTTTTAATATATCTCCGGACGCATTCCGTGCAGTGTGCTCTGTTGGTAATACTTTCGGACACCCAATTAAATTCCACATTCATTTCGAGATCAGTGTGACATCTGACGCTGTGTCCAATTGGAATCGAACAAGAACACCATTAACCATTAATTCCACATATCTTCTTTTATCCGCTACGCTTAGAGCCAGTGTGGAATATATACTGTTTATATATTTATTTTGGTACTGGTGAGGACGCCTGGTTTGTTTCGATCTCAAACTTTCTTTGGTTCGGCAGACTGTTTCTTTGTGGCCAACTTTACTGCATATAGTGCATTTATGAATTCTAAACCGACAAAATCTTGAGAAATGCCACGCACCACAATACCAACATTTAGTTGCAGGTTTAGGAGTTTTCGAGTGATATTTATGACTTTTGGTACTATTTTGTCTTTGACTTGTCTTGACAGCATGAACAGAATTTGATGGCGCTGCACTTTTGGTTTCCAACATAGCGGTATCTTGTTTTAAGTTTATTAATCGTTGGCATTCAGTGGTGATAGTTTGTAACGTCATTTCATCATCATATTCCATACGGGATAACAATTTCATGCGAAAATCAGCATCAACAGAACAGTTTAGACCAGAAATGAATAATAAGCATTTAAATTGATCACTGGTTAATACATTTAATTTAAATCGTTCTGCTTGCAAATTTACTCTTCCGGCGTACGTAGTGTAATCTTCATCAGCCTCTTTAGTCAACTGTAGACAGTTATACCGGATACGGAATAAGGACGCCTGTTCACAAAACATTTTATTTAGAATGTTAACAGTTTCTTCGAAACTAACTTCTCGTGGGTGTTTAGGCAGGATATGGTTTTTGTACTTTTGGTGCTCGTTAGGACCAAGCTTCTGTAAGAGCAGCCGGACTTTCTTTGCGTCATCCATAGCAGCGAATTTTACTCGGAAAATATCTTCAATTCTGCCAAACCATGCTTCAAAAGTGTGACCATTGTCTGCATCAAATATAAATTCCGAAACTGGATTAAGATATGACTCGATACTTTTATGTCCTGGAATATCTTGTTGAATAGATAGCTTCCCCAAAAGTGTTTCTAGGAATTTCTGTTGAGAAGCTAACATCTGCTGCTGCTGTTGTTGAAATCGTTGCTGAAATTGCTGCTGCTGCTGTTGTTGAAATTGTTGTTGCTGTTGCTGCTGTAATAATAACTCCAGCTGTTCAAAAGAAATCGCCATATTTTTTTACTGCTAATAAAAATATTAATTCCAAAAAAAAATCACCGGCAATTATTACAGCTTATTTCTTTCCAAAATCTTAGTCACCAATTATTGAATTACTTTTTTTTGTTGCCGAGATCCCCGTCGCCAATTTGTTATAAACGCGTAGTTTTGCCGGTTAGAGAGCAGCGTATTATCGATCGGAACAGTGACGCATAAAATACAAGCGAGCAGCCTAGAGTCCTGATTGGCCCTGCTTCCCTGTCTAGCCCAGTCAGTTGAGTCCAGAACGCAAGTCTCAGCCTCTGTGATATGAATCGTTATATTTCAAACATACACTGTTTATAAACCAAACAAACAGACTACATCGTACTATAAATAGAAAGTAACATTTGTACAAGATTTGACCTCCAGGAAATGACACAAATAAATATTGACCAATAGGGAGATGACACATTGGAAGAATATTGACCAATGGGGAAATGACACAATTTCTCATTCAGGAATAGCATTCGATAATTTCTGATGTATTTTCTGAATACCCCAACAAAATTCTATCAACCGAATTGCGATGTTTCCAGTAATCTAGGTGACTCAACATCGCGTGCATTATGTTGAGTGTAAGTTGGTGGTTAAAGGTAGTCTTATAATTGCATTATTGTGACTAGTTCAGTTATGCACAGTATTATAAGTCAAATGATAATGTTGCTGCTAATTCTCACTGGTCAACGTTAGAAATCTGTAATTTGTATTTACAATTAGTCAAATTCCAAAAGCTGACATATTTAATCAACTCAGCATATGCTGAAGACATTATTCACATCAAATTGAGAACACATGGAAGTGAAACTGATTAATGTTATAACATTTATTATACGGTACATGAAGAATATTGAAGTCAGACATAGAAAGCTGCGGTATTGATACATCTTCTAACTGGGCGCTTGAATCGGTTTCCCAACCTCTTCTAATAACCCCACGTGAAATCTACACGACAAACATAAATGCGAGTGAAAAAGCAAGAAATGTGGAAAGAGAGCTTTACTCCAATGTTAGTTTATCTGCAGAAAATTGAGTGCATTTATAGCATTCCAGATGGCCTCGAATTTCCGAAAGATTCTGGAACCCTACTAAACACAGTGGCATGTTAGGTAATTAAACCAATCGGAAAAGTGACAGATGGCTCTTCACTTTCCAGATGTTTCTGAGAAAATTCTATTCAATTCTAAGTGGATAAAATGTTACCCAGAATTTTCAGGGACCCTCAGAACTTTTTTCGATGAATACTCTGGATCTTCCAAATAAGTGTTTATGATAAAATGCCTTTAGTAGTGTTTAATTCAATTTTTTAGGGAATATTCTGATTTGAGAAATAAACGCTTTATACTTTAAGAAACCTTTTTGTGAGGTATATTTGCTCAAAGTATTCATGATACTTCGAATATATACTAAAGATATTAAACATTAACTGAATTACGCAGAGTCACTAACAATGAAGCACTGTCAATTTTCCTTTTATGAAAGTATAGAAAAAACTGCTGAAACTATAATCTTAATCTATCTAGCATATAACTCGTACAACATTAGAGTCAATACAATCTAATTTGTGATGTATAACCCAGGATAGGGAATACTTCGATGAGGAAGTTAATTTTTATTTCAAAAATTATTTGTGGTGTATTAATAAAAGAATTCAAAATTTTCTCAACATTACTACCCTGAAGAAGTCCAGACAAGTTAGTGGGACGAAACGTTGGAATTATTTAAATTTCAATCGCTGAGATTATTTCAAATATAATTTTCACATATGATGATTTTAATTCTCAGTTTAAACATTCACATATGAATGGCTTCTTCTAAAAAATTAATTCATTTGTTATGAATGGAGTGAACGATAAGAACCTAAGAAAATTAAATTAATCATAGACAATCAAATTGATTTCCAAAAGTTTAAAATTAACCTACTTACTACTAAGTAGTAGTATGTAGAGTTTTGTAATAAATTCAGTGAATCAAGTCAAGTTGTTTCGTTTTATTGTTTTCTATTTTAGTTGTGTAAAGGATGAATACTGTACACGTTTCTATTATAACAATATAACAAATGATTGTATTGTTACACAATATATCGTATCTCTAATTCCATCTTATCATCCACACAAAGGAAAAGAATGGGATTGTTATTCATTGAATGTTGATAATTAAGAATTGATCTGTTTATTTTAAGAATTATGTGATACTTCATGAATATACTTAACATTTGGTGAGTTACACTTAGTGACAAAATCTTACTGTAATTTCCGATGATGCTTTTAAGACATTTCAATGATTATTCAGATCAATATTTAAATTACTAACTAATGCACATCAAAATTTTCAATGTTTATGTTGGGGACGTTAGATCCCAAGAACTCACTTAGAAAAGAACCTAATTTTGTAATTTTATTTACAACATTTGAATTTCTTTGTTTTCGCTTCAAAAGAGCTCTTTTCCCTTTCATGTAGTATTTCCCACTTGGGAGAATCTTAAATGCTATTGGTCCGTTGTGTCTTTTAATATGCTATTTTGCAACTCTTCTCAAGGAAGGTTTTGTGCTGTATACATACATTTTGATTTATTTCTGTTGTTATCGCTCGTTTTCTGGATTTTTGCGAAATATACTTCCCTATTCCAAGCTTGGACTTCTTCCTCTAGTTAGCGGGGCTGTGACGCATCGAAAAGCTAGCTTATTGGTCTTTGGTCACCGAGTCTTTGTTCTCGTTCGGAGATTAAGTGAACTCGTAACCGCTTCAAACCTAGCAGTTTAGGAGTTTTCTGAAAATATTTAACGTTTAATAAATAAAATTAAAAAAAGGAAAACATGAACATTTCATATTGGTTAAAGTTATAAATGATATACCATTTGTACATTTTATTGGCACAGTTAATCAATAACAAAGTGATTTACAGTTTCAGAAGTTTATTACTTTCAATAGTAAACGAATGATTAAAATCTAATAACTGAAAGATTTAACCCGTTCAAAAATCCATGTAGTCTTAGTTTATTGAAATCTATCAACAAAAAATCATACAATTAAATCTTATTCATATTAATGTACACTGATTAATTCATTTGAACCTAATAAACTAAATAGACATTTCGAATAAGTTAATTTCATTTAAATTTGATTTATCTCTGACTATGGACTATTAGAATTTTGTATAACCTAGCCATATAGTCACATCCTAGACACTAATCATGATGAATTGAAACGTAACTTGATTATCGAGTAAATTAATCAGTTTTATTCACTGACAAATTGTGAGGACGGCCCACGAGTGAACTTGACGAAGCTTAGAAAGAGCCAAAGACTTTCCATCCAGTCACCTTTCGAAAGGACATTCGACAATCTCAGTGTGTAGCTTCCCTATTGGACAAATGCTACAGATCACTGTATGTGGATTGGATGACTATAATGATGATTTTGCTTTTACTAAAAACTATAAATACCTGAGAGTTTTATATCATATTTGATACTGTTTAGAGTGCTCAAGTTGTACGCGATTTATCAAGAATTTAAGCTCTAGAGATAACACAAATACTACAAGAATATTTAAAATATATCCTCTTTAGTCTTTGTATTTGAAAGTATCAAGAAACATTAGAAATTTAATTTTAAACTTTCTTGATCCATACGTCAAACAAAAAAGTAGTACTGAGCATTTTCTGTTTCCCTTCAAGTTATATATGTGTGTTGTGACACTAGTTCGTAATTTTGTTCAAAAATCTATCAGTATGAATTAAAAGAACAAAGTTATTTAAACACGAAACTGAAAGTACAATTTAACATCACTACATATCATAGATTAATGTCATTTAGAATTTTTAACAACTAGAAAATTAAACGATCCAATCAAATCCTGACAATAAAAGTTAGTAAATAGGTATAAAATATTTTTCTCAATTATTTTAGTTCATATAAATTTTAGTGAAAATTTAATATAACTTAAAATTACTGAACCTTATCCATAAGTTGTAACTTCTTGACCCATTTTTATTTTGTTGAGGACGTTAGATCTCCAGAACTCACTTGGAAAAGGTCCTAATTTTGTAATTTTATTCTGAAAATTTGAATGTTATGTTTTCGCGCCAAGAGGCGCTTAGTTGACCTACAGCTTACATTTCCCACTTGCAAATCCTTGACTGTCCTTGGTTGACGGAATTTTTAGTACGCTATTTTGTGACTCTCCCAAGGGCGTTTCTATAAATAAGCTTGATTTGTGTGCTTAGTAACCTCGCATTTTCTGGGTGGTTGTAGAATACATTCTTTACGCCTCATCGAGACTTCTTGATTTAGTTAGCAGAGCCGGGGACAATGGATTAGAACATCCTATTGTGTCACTGTATCTTTGACCTTCGTTCTGTTTACCGAGTAAGGTGAACTCGTAATAGCATTCAAGCATATCATATTTATTTATTAATAAAACAATTACAACAGCATTTTAAAAGTTATGACTTATTAAACAAACAAAATAAACACATTTGTAAATGATTTTAGTCATGTTTAATTACACATTTTCAAAAAAATGTTTATGTGACACAGTTATGACAATAGTTTACGAAAATAATTATGAACTGTTTGTTAATATGTACCGAAAATTAACTACTCAAGTATTTATCTAAAAAGTAAATAAAAATGCGACATCAATTCAAATAGGGTCGTACATAATAAACATTATCCTTAGATTGGATCATTTAATGATGATCATTAAAATACACTTGAAACTAAAAATGTGAACATTCGACATTATATAAATCCGATATTAGTCTTGTTCCGAATCCTCTGATGTGTTTTATTCGGTAAGTAAAATCCAGTGTATATCTGTCTTCGAAATCTCGATTGTTCCTACTGCTTCACAACAGGCCGTCTCTTATTTCTACCTTAATTTATCATTGTCATACACCAACGATTTGTTAAAAGATAGGAACCATGAGATTACAAAAGTAACTTTATATCCCCATTCTACTTATGACACATTATTTGATCGTATAAGCATGTAGACTTAAAATACTAAAAGCTAACAGTTGATACTCCTTAGTACAAATATATCATCACCTAGTTAATATAATTTATATTTTTAAATTGAAAAGTTTCATAAGTACTTCAATGTCTAACAACTTTATCATTCACTATTCGATATTAATTTATTACAAACTGGTATAGAAACAATACCCAGACAAAACCAATTCACTATTCATAGTGTTATAATTCTCTCTCTTACGGTTATAACCCAGCTATTTCTATTGCTTAGTATTCTCGGATACCAATTCGCTCGACAAAGTCCCCAAATCAGAACACGGTTGAACAGGAAAGAGATTGTATTCCAAATAACAAGGTTAGATGGAAGAAAGAAGCACAATTGGAAAAACGTTAGTATATTTATAGTTTTTACATGAGAAGATTCCAGATTATTCTCCAAGCATCGGCTAATTCTTATCCAATCAGCGTGCGCCAAAGCAAGCGTGTAATGAGCATGATTTAATCCAATCTATGTCCCGCTAACACATAGTGATGAGAATCTAGCTAGATACTGTGCAATATTGTTCCGTCCTCAACAAAGATGTCATTTATTACCATTTCGCCAACGTAGTAAAAGTTATCCGGTTTTAAATTCGAATGTGAAGCCTTTATTTCTTTAATTTATGTGGCATTCTCTCATTATTTGATTTTGAGTGAAATATCTTTGACTATGGATCACATTCAGCTTAAGATTACTAATGTTACAATCTGAGGGTCGGCTCAGTCAGTATACACGCTTCTAACTTTTTCTAAGAAAAAAAATGGGAGAAACTACGTAGGACGCTATATTTCGGAAAGCAAAATTGCACTACAAACAGCTCACTTGTGACTATAGGTAACCAGACTGATGTTTGGTTTCGTACGATGACATACCTAACGAATTTTAACTAGATGTTATTTTATGATGTGCCTAAACATAATAAATTATGCTCGAAATATGATTCACCAAACAACTATATTTCAACATTTGTCGTGAGCATACTACTCTCCCAGTAAATATTTAGAATGGATTTAAGACTAAGATAGAATAATACCTGCTTTCTAAAAGGTATTGTGGAGCTTTAAAAAAAATCAAATTGTAAGCTGAAAGTTTATTATGAGTATCAGCATAGTTTTACAGCACTAAAAACATCGTATGTATTTTTCAGAAAGACTAATAACGATGTTATCAGTTACTATCCTAAATATACTACACCATAATACTTAGTTATTCAATTAAGTCAACTGGGTAGAAAATACGTGTCTCACTATTCGTATAACTAGAATACGACGGAAAACATGTACGAGTTCCTTCGAGATGATTTATACAGTACTTACTTTACCTTAAAACTGAACCGATTAAATAACCAATGAAATAAAGTGTAAGTTTGGGGACGTGGAAAATTTATATAAGTGGGTATAAACTGGAACTTGTAGTTGGACTGTCGAATTCGGTGGATTGGAAACTCCAGATTTCGGTAGCAGTCATTAACAAGATGGAGAAAATAGATGTTTCCTCCTAGGTTTAGAATAGTATTATTCGTCCCTGCTGTTATAAAACATATCTTCGAGTTATTTAGGTAGACTTATATTTTATAGAAAAAATAATATCGAACACAAAGCTTCATTTTATAATTGGGACTACATTGTATCACTTGACTAATACATTTAGCTTAGTCTTCAATAATAAAATACCATAATACCGGTTGAATTAAGCGATTTCTCTGGACATCAGTAATGTAGAACATAATTCCCATTTACTAACGAACAAATATCATACGGCAAATGATTACGCCAAATAATAGAAAATAGATGAAAGATAATTTGGAAGTGGCTCTTCAACTAATACGTCAGAAATGATTGATCACGATACCAATATCTACGACCAATGAGATGAACTGCACTATCGGTAAAAGTATATACTATGGAATGGTATTGAAAACATAACAAAAACCACCATCAATTACAAAATGTCTAACGACAGATTACAATAAAGAGACGCGACGGTAATAAATATGATTTGAAACTTGGTATTTTCCAATGAATCAGGAAACAAAACAAAAGTTTTTACTGATGTTTCACTATTTATTCATAATAGTTTTATTAAACGAATAGTAAACCAGAATTTATAAATATTTCAGTGTATATGTGGTCTTCGCATATTGCTTCTTTAGAATGTCTTTAAATTTCATCAAGTTTTCAAACAGATTATCCGAAAATAAAATAATATGAAATTTCAAAAATTTGAACTATCCATTCGCGACCTTTATCTCTTATGGAATTAATGCAGAAACGATTGACAAAATGTAACACTTTTGTGAAGGACAGTGTTTCGTATATTGATACGATTTTCAGTAAAAATTTGTCACATTAGTCTCTATGATCAACAGCGAATATTGATTAACTTTCTTCGAATACCTCCAAGTTAAAGAAAATATTTCATACTGAATAGTCAGATTATTTGATGTAGGTACACGGTTCGTTTTACTTCAGACTCTTCAAATAGAATATACTCAAATTTGTGTTATGTTCACAACTGAAAATTCAATTAGTCATCCGTTAATTCAAACAATGAAACTAATAAATTACAAATCTTTTTCTTATTTAGTGCGAAATTATTAGCAGAACACTTTATATTTCCCTTGAACAACTAGCCGAGCATCAATTTTATGTATTTGAATACCTTGGTACTGCCACTTCACCAAATAACACGTTTTTCTAAAAAACCAAACAAGGATTAAATTCTTTTTTATTTAAATAATTAGAATACAATTTTTATCAAAATAACCGATCTCATTAAAAGTATTACTGTCAGATATTTGAGGTCTTATTGTTGCTCTCATGTTTACATAGTTCAGTAGAATTAACGATAGATGATAAAATGAACAAAGGAATATCAAATGTCTCGTCATTTAAAAGAACCAGATCGTATAATGAACTGAATAATTTCACTTGTTCGTCATTCTGTGAACACAAGTAAATAGTAAATTGAATAATACGTAATATACATAGAATGAATTGTAAAAGAATTAGTGACTCACGTAGAATACATTAAATAAGTTAAAACTTTATCCTTTAATTTAAGGAGATATGCGCATTCTAAGGGGATGGTTTACCAACATCAGGAAGCACAAATAGTTTTATTTTCGACTCAGTTCAATCATATATATATATATATATATATATATATATATATATATATATATATATATATATATATATACTGGAGCCCATGTGCACCATTGGTTTAGGATTCGGTTAAAGCGCCGGACATTCGCTTTTCGTCCTCTCATCTTCGTAAACAACACCACCACGAGAAGGCATTGAGTAGGACTGCCCTGGCAGAGGCTATGTACGTGTGGCCATGTGAGAGCACTTTGAGAGGGAGAGCGGACTCTCCCCACTCTCGGCCGTACCAGGGCATTTCGGGGCGGATAGAGAAATATCACACCCTATCATGGGAAAACTCGGCAATTGAATATATATGTATATATTCATGACTAATATACATATTCACCCCGTTTCGGCAACAAAGATTCAAACTCTTCGCGTTATATACTGCATATCTGGTTGAATAAGCATTAGGAAACGTGTACTAGTCACTGAACTACACTGTTAGAACACAAAACAATATTGTCTGATAATGATAACATAGTTCTGATAATCAATATTTTATGTAATAGACAAATTAAAAGTTCTGCGTTCCTAAAATATTTGTTCATAATAAGACGACCAAATTGTTAAGTAACAAACTTATTTGATTAAAAAGCAACATATAAAGGTTTGTGAGTTTTAAAGAACTATGCCGATAACATTATCAAGAAGCTTCTTAGTATAAATGACTTACACCACGATAATATCAGTACGAAAATCAGTAATAATCGATAAGTACAAGTTTGTCCATAAAAAACTGAGTCACATATCATGTGGCAGTAAGAAGTAGGTATTAACCTCCTTAAATAAAGTGCTTAAATTGTTGAACTATATGTCTTCAAATGAGAAATGTAACTACTATAAAAATACCTCCAAAGTAAATTATAAATGCTTACCACCTTGTAATAACAATAACTATGTTATCAAAGGTTATTTTAAAAAGTCAAAGAGAATTAAACATGACTTGAACACACTATGTTACACAAGATAGAATTCTGTCGCATATTCTGCTTATATTTACACCTTCTTAACCATTGAATACAAATTAGAAAGTCACTTGAGTAACATCAGGATTATTAGTTAATTTTATTGAATTTAAATATATAGAGATTAATTCCGAGTTGATATCTCATTTTTATTTTCATTATTTTACGAGCGTTGAAAAAAAAGAACACTTCACTTGAAAGTAACGAGTCTCTATTTATGTTTGATTCAACACCATATTGGTCGAAAACTGAACATTGTTTCAACTGCAGTCTCGAATCACTAATACAATGTATCGGCGGAACATATCTCAAATTACTGAAGTTTTGACGATATCTTAAATATGAACTTCAACAACCCTATGAAATTAAGTAAAACGTGTTTTTACTACTTCTTTCAAATTATAGATACAGACAGTTCTAATGTCAATAGCTGAAATCCATGTTCACAAGAAATTTACAAAAGAATAAATCTCATTTGTAAAAGGATATAGAGCCTAAAAATACTTACTTTTTCATTTAAAAATCCTATACGAATAACTATAACTTGTTCATAAGAAAAATTTTCCCTATCATCAATCATCTTTGCATCATTAGTTGAGTCACCGATAAGCAGAATACAAATTCTTTTCGACAGAATGGTTTCAAAATATTCAGAATTTTGTATTACACTATACATTTTATTAAGAGAATGAACAACAGGATCTTGAAATCCAACTAAACGACCCTAAAACAATAAATTTACAGGTACCTTAACATTAAAAGACGATGTAATTCATGGAGACTAAAATATATAAATTATCAAATAGTAAAAGAGGATATCAAAACGACAATACTACTTTAAAACTACTGGAAAAAAGGTTCATATACAGTTTATAAATATAATGATTGAATCGCTAGTATGAAAAGAGGCAAATTTTGAATCACTGATGTATTAGGAATGTAAACCCCCGTAGAAATTTTAACTATAGGAAAAATTTGTTACAATCACAACACTTACTGTTGTTTGTAACTATAACATCACTCCACTAACATGGTCATGTACATAAAAGTTACAATGAAGTACAGATTAAGTGCAAGAGTGATAAATTATCATTTTTGAAAACAATTAATATGCAAATAAAGTTTAATACATGTCTGTTAACACGAAAAGTTGTGGTTTAAAAGCGTCAAGATATCCGAGACAAGAATTTCTACTTGTTAGTTACACTTGTTAATTAGATAAGTGTTTTATGACGAGTTCAAATGTACAAAGTGGATATCACTAAGGCAGCAAGGTATGGTAAAACCTGACTTATTTTACTGTAGTGGGTCAAATGGACTGGCCCTTGAATAAATCTAACGGATTCAGAAAATCAGGGTATGAGTTAGGCTTCAAATTTGAGAGTTAATGATCCTTCCCAGTTTCTCAACGCGACATTGGTGTGGTGCGGTTCGAGCCTGGGAATTTCAGCTGTTACTGAAGGAGTCTAATGCAGTGCCTCTTTTTCTACAGATGTGGGGTGTATTTATTATTTATTTAAACACATCGACATAGGTACAAGAAGGCACCAAATAGACTCTCCGTGCCCACCAACCCGGTTGAAGCGCCAGACATTCGCTCTTCGTCCTCTTAATTTCGTAAACAACACCCCCGCCACGAGAAGGCAATGAGTAGGACTTCCCTGGCAGTGGTTGTATGCACACGGCTATGTGAGAGCATTTCGAGAGGGAGAGTTAACTCTCCCCACTCTCGGCCGTACCAGGGCATTTGGGGGCAGATGTGGAATGTGATTGTTATTATCGAATAAGGTAAAAAAATCTCCAACCAATCCAAGGTAACCAAGTCCAACTGTTTACAGAAGCTGGGGGCCAAGATAACTGCATTAGTACTTTGTTATATTCTAGTGAAGATTAAATTACAGGTAACTTTTGAGAACTATTAACGGACTAATATTATATATATATATATATATATATATATATATATATACCTATTGTATAACTGTTCAGTAACTAGATTGTGAATATCTATATTCCTCTTATTATAAGCTTCATTTTAACCCATAGGTTATTATTATGCGACTTTCTGTTCTTAAGTTATGTTCAGTTTATTGATTACAGTTTCCCACGTTCACAGTCATTTTTTAGCTTCATGTTGTATAAATGTTATTCCCTATTTTATGGTGTGATGAGGTCTGTTTGGCTGGTATATAAATCAAGTATGTTTGGAATAAATGGTTCGCACAATGGAAGTCGTTATTGGCGTTCTGAACCCAACTGGACCAATAAAGACGCTAGGCTGCTCATACCGGTCGAATGTCATTGGTCTAGCACAGTACTAAGATTGGATATGTCGTATTTCGATTGCCGAATAAATAAATAGCCGGCCTTAAAAACATAGGAGCATCTATTAACAGAATCCGAACTTTTGGTGGATAAAATAAGTGATATAAACCAGTAAGAACAGTTTGTCCACTATCTAATCCCATATTCACGCAGCTTCTCTTCTTGATAATAATCTCCAAAAGAACGTATGTATTGGAGAGTAATAAAACATACTGTATATCTACAATTGTATAAAATAGTAGAGGTAACTAAACCCTCACATATCCAGATAGTTTCCAGTTCGCTTACGAGCCAATGGTGTTAAATTATCAAGGGGTAATCCGACAATACTAATTATGAAACCTGTCAAAAGAATATTATTCCTTACTTCAGGATTGAAGTCCATAAAATTTGAAACAACACGAATATTTTCCAAGGATACACCTGACGATGTCAGAACTGTTTCTATAACATTTCCTATGCCTCCGGAGAATATAACTAGTGGTATGCTGAGCTGAGCCAACTTATTTACAAAATCAGTTGCATTATTCCTAAAATTGGTATCGCGGTTAAAATTGGACAAAAGAATGAAATTTAAGGAATACATGAACAAATTTAAGAATAATCAAATTGAAAACTATCTGGACTTAAATATACTAGTTAACGTCTGGATGATTTAAAACTTGGAAAACCGAACAACCAATAAATTAACTAAAAAACAAACGTGATATTGTATATTTGAGAAAGTATTTATTTCGTGATGTGTTTGAGAACATAATTCTACAAACCAAAACATCATAATTCTTGAACACACCATCGAGTGAAAATGTTCGATTAGATAATGAGATGATGCCTCAGCTGACCAAATAGTATCATTGAATATGAAGCTGTAAATCTAACCAGTAGTGAAAAGTGTGCACAGAGGACATTATATTTTTAGTAAAGCTTAATTAGGAATCTAGTTGGGTATATTAATATACCAAATTCCAAAATTATAATTTATCTTAGAACTTGCTTTAAGCTAACCAATGTAGCACAAATAGAGTTACGCGATATTTTAACCCAACAGACAAACAATTTGGTCTTCCTAAGTTATTCACTTCTCGCCATTGTATGTCATTATTTGTGGTTGAATTTAAGTCTCAATTACTCGTGTCAATTATTCCGTTTTTATTTTTACCTTGCAGTGCAGCAATCTCAGTAGATGCACTGTTAACTGATTTCTTTCAACGCAAAATGGATATGGATAGAAAAGTATGTTTTTGTAAGACTATAAATCTACTTCCAGTATACTATTGCTTTGGTCTAAAGGCTGCTAAGAAAAATGAAGCAGCAAGCTACTCTTTTTATTTACGCGATCAAGATATTCTCTGTTTGAAACGAAATACTGATAACTTTTAAGTTGGATTTCAATTCTGTACGTTAATTTGAATCAAACAAGGTCAGTTACTGTGAGGAATACTGCAACTAAATGATTCACAGAACAACTTTGGGTTTTGTCAACTATGTAAGCGATTCCTCAATGTATGTGAACCAATTAACAGATTTCTTGTTAACATGAAAGGATAGGTAGGTGCTGTACGCTTAAAGGGTTACTTTTTAACATCAAACTGAATAAATCCCAAGATAGACTAAAATAAATGCATTTCTTAGATTAAAAAAGCCAACTTAACTACCGTTTACGTCAGTTTGTAAACTGGCAGCTTCTTAGTTTATCGAGAACTCCAATGGATCAACGACTTTGGCACAACACTCTGAGGCTTTCCGATACATGTTTCAATCGAGACTGACATAATAAACAAAACCCCATACATCTTTGTGCTTAAAACAGATATTAATAGCTACTATAGGAGTGCTAAATACCATAGCCAACTTTTTTAAGATACTACTAGTCAGAATACAGTAAGTTACATATGCTTGGAATGCAGAACAGTTATCTTTACTTTTGTGAGAAAGAAAACCCATAAGAATTCGAACACAGTATCTAGTTTTCATCTTCTAGCCAAAGAGACTGGGTTAGATCCTTTAGGATCAAGAAGAATTTTGACGGAGTCTAACTATGTCAACCAAGAAAAAAGCAGTCTTTATGTGAATGAATAAATCGTTTTTATTGGGAGGGGCGCGCAGAAGCAAGGAAAGTGTATATGAGTGAACTATTGCTGTAAGACACAACGAATGAAGCAGGTGCTGACTTTTATCGTGCGAAATAATACTTCTGAAAACCCACTCAATATACGTGCAAGTAAACGTTTTAGTGAAGTAAAAAGAGGTTAGAAATATCTAGTGAATTGCATACTATATATAAATTCTTGTGAGCACTTAACAAAATATAGATGCACGACTGACTTTTATGACAACTTAAACGAACTTTTGTGTCCATATTTTATTTAACTCAAGCTATTGTTAAGCTGATTGTAAAACCTTAATTACTTTTAGTCATGTGTCATTAAAAAATTACGCTAACTAATGCAGCATCTTCTGTTTGAATGAATCCTGGCAATTTAGATGACTTATACGAATATTCGCCAATATCTGAACGAATAGTTAGATAAAAATTGAGCGCCCAGTATATAAAATATATTATTTGTAAGAATTATATTTGAAATAATCTTAGAATCTAAAACTTAAATAATCTCAACATTTCGTTCAGAAACCTTACCTGAACGTCATCACGGTAATAATTAAGATAAAGACTATCGATGAATATATAACGTCTGACAACCAAACCTACACTAACAATTTATCTAGACATTCACTTTGTTTGGTAGGAAAATATGGATTAGTAAGATATCAGTAATGTGGAAAGTCCAAAATGTGAAAAAGAATGAATATGTGTATATGTACGTTTCTGTTATTACTATTCGATATTTGATAAATACAACGCTTTCCTATAACTGAAGATAGGTTAGTCATTTAGCCTATTAAAATAAAAGTAACGGTACAAATTGAAGTGTTTTTGAACGTCAGTGTGTATGTATCACGAGAATAATTAACTACTTAGTTGTGCTGTTAAAACATACAAACGAAAGGGACACCAATGGGGTCACCAACATCAGGACTGGTCTCAGAAGCAGTGATGCAAAGACTAGAAGCCGCAATATTACCAGTGATCAAGCCAAAAATTCGGATTCGCTATGTAAACGATACATTCGTCATCGTCAAAAAGAATGAGCTAGAAAACACTTACAAATTGATCAACAACGTCTTCGATGACATCGAGTTCACAATGGAACAGGAGGTAAACAACAAACTACAATTCTTGGACATATTAATCACTAGAACTGACACAGGAAAACTAGAAACTCAAGTATATAGGAAACGGACCCACACAGATCGAATTCTTAACTACAATAGCAACAACCCAAGAGCACATAAAATCAGCTGCGTACAAACTTTGTTCGAGAGGGCGAAGACACACTGCACCACTCTGGCAGCACGAAGAAAGGAAAAGAAATACCTGAAGGACGTATTTCAAAAGAATGGCTACCCAATCAACTTCATCAAAAAATACCAACCACACGTAGCATCAGAGCACAAATCAAGCACAGAAATCAACAAACGGATCACCCTACCATACATAAATGGCATATCAGAAACCACAACAAGACTGCTAAAAACCTTCGGGATAGGTGTGGCACACAAACCGACAAAATCACTACAGTCAATCCTATGCAAACCAAAGGATGAAATAACAAAAGAAGATAAATCAAACATCATCTACAAAATAGATTGTGTTAACTGCGACAAACACTACATCGGAAAAAGCGGACGCCCCCTTCACCTGCGCCTACATGAACATCAATTAGCAGTCAAACGGCCTGATATCTCCTCACTTATATCAATACACGTGGACAACTAGGGAAAAACATTCGATTGGAAAAATGTGGAAATCTTGGACAGAAAAAATTCTAAAAACACAAGAGAATTTTTAGAAGCCTGGCACTCAGGTCAATCAGCAATCAACAAACATATTGAAATCGATTCGATTTATTAACCAATCAGGAAACTTATGCACAAATATAGGAACAAGAATCAAACCAATAGGAGACAAAACCAAAACAAAAAAGTAAACAATGACAAATTCAAGGTCAATAAGAACCAATCAACATTGAGAAGCACAGAACAAGCTGGGGGAATTCGAACACTTCACTTCTATCTGAAGTTTGTGCTGATGATGTCGTTCAGAAGAACGATGAAAGCTCCACGACCAAACGATCCAGCTCAGAGAACAAAACTCCATCAAAAACATACAAATTAACTTTTGTCAGAATACAGGTACATGTGATATAATTAAGGTAGACAGAGATAAGGTTTAGTTACTCGTTATTAAACATTGGTTAGGAGATGACTAGTTAAATTTAACCGTTTTTGTTCAGGTTGTTTTTCTAATTAAATGACTACTTTTGGAAATCTATTGAACACTGAGTTAAGTGTATACAATTAGTCTAGTAAAAAACTCTGATGCAGCGCAAGAGCGCAAAATATGAGTGATACAAACCTTTTTAGCATGCCGACGAGTACCAAATATTGTTGGCCAAAGTGTTTTAGTTCTTTACACTACTTAGAACATTGCTCATACATAAACACAGCCACTGCATGAGCAAGTGCATAACTATCTGAAGTCAACAAATAGCGAATATATTATTACCACTACTATGATGATTACAGATGTGCATAAGCAGATTTCCATTCACATAATCAGTTCTCGGATGACATTGTATTAATTACCATAACAAGTGTTGCTGGGTCAGAGGATGTACTATTCTATTGAGAATGACGAAATTCTTTTTAAAAAGCACTTGACCAAATGGAAAGTGGATACGCTAATCATCGAATCACCAGTCTTCTCCTTGTTAATTATAATATTTTTAAATGTCCTATGTGTTTTCGCGTACGTACTGTTGAAACCTACTTCCACGAGCAAACACTTGCGTCACATAGCGTGAAATATTGATAAAAACATGTCGAAGTTAGGACCAACCTTAAAACTATTCCGCCTTCCAAAACACAACCATTAATATCACTTCGAGACACATTCCCATCAACCAATGCTTTATGGGCCAATTTCCAAAATTCCATCATGAGAGACAATTTCTCGCACTCATATATGTCACAGGACGTTTCAAACGGTACATAAAACTCCAGAAGCTCCTTGAGCTAGGAAAATAAAAATCGAAGACCTACTTACCCGTAATCTAGATATCTCAGGAATTTTAGGGTTTTTCATGAACAATTCTTCCGTGTTTACTGTATTATCTCAAACAAACAAGAATTACCATGACAAACAGGAACCTTCTCAGAATTGTGAATGTATTTGGACAATGTGTGATCAAAATCACAAACAACCTCAGACTAATCTTTATAGAGAATTCTTACTTGCATATACTCCGGTCCATAACGTATGAAATCTACTAGTTTATTCACTAATCCCGGACTAACATGGATCAGACGATGCTCTTCAAACTGCACACAATATGAGATTATAAGATTACCATGGATCCTAACATATTGCAAATGTGACTCGCCAGGGAATTGCAATTGCATCTACCCTCCAAGGTCATGAGTTTGGAAGACTGCGAAGGTCATAGTGTGGTCGTGTGAACTACTGAAAGGATAGGGGAGTAAAAATGGTACACTACATCCATCAATTTCATATTGTTATTCTGCATCTTCTCAGATTATCTTGAATGCTGTTAATTTTTATGGTTTCAGTCAATTTAGCGTGATTCCTAATAGGTTGATTAAGGTATAACTTGTTCATAGTTTCAGTTTCAGTTTGGGAAGCACAAGAAACAAGATGATCTGTGTTAGTTATGGCAATAAAGGTCTCTCAGTTGATCTAACTTTCTCTTCAAAGAGTCGATAGATGAAGCTTCAAGCTTCGATACGACAACGGGAATAGGTTTAGTTTAGCCAGTTCAACATAATATAGAAGCTTTGCTATTTCCGGAATCAGTTAAATTATTGTTCTCTGAACATTTTCCGAAAGCTCACTGTCTTTGTTTGAGAAGTGGATAGCCGCCTATATGCAGTACTGAAGTTTATGACACACAAACACTGTTGTAGCGTGGAGTCGAGTCGCGCTTGACTATGATCATCACTACAAGAAGAGCGCGTATCAGACAAATCAGAAGGCGAAGAAGGTTCGTAACCAGATTTATTTGTTGGCGATCTCGTGGTATCGAGCGAACACCAAGATCGTGCCAAAAGGAATATAAGCGGAATTAGTGGGCACAAGAATGCACAGTTAGGCTGTTAGGCCGTGGGTTTTCGCGCACGTGTAGCATATTGTCGTGGATTTTTTTGTGTCTCTATTTATTAGCTTTTTTTCCATCGCACATCAATTTTCGCGATGTTTGTGCTTGTTAAATAGTTTTTATTCCAATTTATTTGCAGTTTGACGTATTTTTGCTCACCAGCTAAGTGAATCTTTAGTAAGCCTAATGTGGTTATTTGTAATAATACAAACTCAGCCAAGTAAGATCCACCATTTTTCAAGTCATAAAATAGATCAAAGATTGAGTTATCAGGAAAATAAGCTTTAAAAATTATTACATATGATTCACCTCCTTGATTTTGGTGATGATGAACATGGATGTTGGTTGTTGTTTGTAAAATGTAGTTACAAGCAATTAGGCGTTAATCCATTTATGAATATTATATAACATGTTAATATTTAGCCATAAACAGTTATGCCCATTATAAGTATCATCGTTTTGTACTAAAGTGACATGGTATTATGTGACGTATTTGAGAAGAACTATGTGAGCGTGTAGCGTGGTGTCGAGTTGAGCTTGACTATGAACACCGCTACAAGACTACGTGCCAATAGACCAATAAGATTCCGGTAGGCCAAAAATCAGAAGACAGATGATGGCTGTAGTCGAGATGTATTTGTCGGCGATCTCGTGGTATCGAAAGAATACCGAGATCGTGCCAAAGGAGTACAAGTGTGGTTACTGAGCGTAACCGAATTCGTACAAGTTAACGGGAGAGAAAGTATAATGGCTGTCATTAGCACAGTTAAACAAACGAGCACAGTAAAACAGTCACTGGTACAATTGGTTATAATAATAATTGTTTTCATCGAACCAATCGCGTTCTGTTGACAAAAGTAGGTCACTACAGGAGCCCCCCGCTAGAAAGGGTTTACACTTTCGATAGTTAGCGGTTTAATTCGTGGGACTGATCGGCGGAATTGCGGTTGTAGGACGGAGGAAATTGGCGGAACAGGAAGTGATCGTTGATCCTCGAGTTGCCAACGAAGGTCTTCTGCGCAGAACGGTACCAGGAGAAGTGTGCTGTATTTGTTGGTTGAGTTAGCATACCACACCAGAGTGGTTTGTATCCAGGATCTGATGATTGCGTTCGTAGGGATGCGGACCAGATAACGCTGCAGACGTAGGACGAAACCACGTTGAGCCAAGAAACCGGAAGCGACCATAACGACCAAGCGTATGCCGGGCGAATTCGAGACCAGATAATCGACTGAGTGCGTTGACTAGAGCGTGGGTGGCCAAACCAGCTTTTGCCAATGTTGACTGAAGTCGACGTCATCAAATGGACGATGGTCGGAGGCGTGGGCTCAGGATACAAAATAATCAAAAAAAAGAAAAGTGTAACATGCGTGTAGTACAGGAATAATCCTACACCGTATCCGTTATTGACTGCGTTTAGTCGCGAAAGCGTACGGGTAATCGTACTCGGCGACTGGAACGTGAGACGGTGGTCTCGTTCTTACTTCGTGAGCCTGCGATCTCATCCGAGGTCAAGGGCGGCGTGGTCTGCCGATCTGGACGTGAGACGGAAGTCTCGTCCGTAGATGGTGCAGATGACGCGTGCTGTTGACCGGGACGTGAGAACGAGGTCTCTGATATATCTAGCGTGGGATCCGAGGTAGACGTAGAGATCCCGCTAGAAGGTTTGATAGGTCTAGCATTGAGTCTCAAGTTATCGGGTAGGGCACTGTCATCGACGTGTGCTGGTTTGAGACGATCAATGCTGACGATCTCGACGCGGCCGTGTCGATCAACCTTGAAGGTCTTTTCGTGACGAGAGATCACGTGAAAAGGGCCTTCGTAAGGCTGTTGTAGAGGTTTGCGTACCGAATCTACTCGTATGAAAACATGTGAACAGGTAGATAACTCTCGAGGGAGAGCGACCTGTCGATGTTGTATTCGAGTTGACACCGGAGACAGCGTTCGCATAAATGCAGACAGTCGATGGACGTAGTCTGATTTACCGAAATCATTACTGCTCCGTAATGTGAAGAATTCCCCAGGCAGACGCAATGTCGTGCCGTATACAAGTTCAGCGGCGGAACATTGAATATCTGCCTTCAAACTCGTTCTGATGCCTAAAAGAACGAGCGGTAAGGTCTCGTACCAATTATCGTTTTCGTGTGCTCGAAGAGCACTTTTAAGTTGGCGATGAAACCTTTCGACTAAACCATTCGATGCTGGATGGTAGGCGGTAGTGCGTATGCGTTCCGTACCAAGCAGCCTGGTCAGTGAGGAGAATAATGCGGACTCAAATTGTTGTCCTCGGTCAGTCGTGACAGCCGAGGGACAACCGTACAATGCTATCCATCGTTCTACGAAGCGGTGAGCAACTGTCTCCGCCGTAATAGACGTGATAGGAATAGCTTCGGGCCATCTTGTAAAACGGTCAATGCACGTGAGTATGTGATCATACCCATGCGATGGTGGCAATGGTCCTACAATGTCTATATGAACGTGATCAAAGCGAGCATCAGGCGTAGCGAACGTGCCAATGGGGGCAGCTACGTGCCTGTGCACTTTTGATCGTTGACACTGTAAGCATTGCTTTACCCACATACGAACATCTTTATTCATGGACGGCCAGACGCATCGTGCAGCGATGAGACGTAATGTGGCTGCGATACCTGGATGAGACAATCCATGAAGGGCATCGAAGACGAGACGGCGATAGGTAGAGGGTACGATGGGTCGAGGAAGACCGGTAGAAATATCACATAGGATAGTACCTGAGCTAGTAGCTAGGGGTACTTCCTACGGCACGTTTTACTCCCTGATTGCTCGAACTTTGTCCTCGCAAGGCAGAATACCCTCTTGTCTGATGATGTGACCCAGAAATATACATTTCTCTGGGTTGACTACTATTCCATTATCCGAAAGACGTTGGAATAATAGCGTAAGGTGTTGATAATGTTCATCTACGTTTGATGATGCGATCAGCAGGTCATCAATATAGACGTGAACAAAATCCAAGTCTCGTACTATGCTATCGATAAACCTTTGGAAAGTTTGAGCAGCATTCCGTAATCCAAATGGCATTCGTAGGAACTCAAACAGACCGAAAGGAGTCGTGATAGCAGTTTTCTCGATGTCTTCAAGAGCGACTGAGATCTGGTGATATGCTCGTACCAGATCGATTTTAGAAAAGATAGTCGTGCCCTTGAGCGATGCCGTGATGTCGTGTATGTGGGGGATGGGGTAGCTATCAAAGCGCGTAACTACGTTTAATGCTCGGTAGTCGCCGCATGGTCTCCAACTAACCCCATCCTTTTTGCGCACCATTTGTAAAGGAGAGGCCCAAGGACTGTGAGAAGGACGAATAATACCAGCAGATAGTAAATTGTCAAACTCACGTTTAGCGAAGGCTAATTTGTTCGGTGCCAGTCGGCGTGGTCTTGCCGTGACTGGTGGTCCGCGGATGACTATGTGGTGTACCACACGATTGGTCATCAATGAAATCTCCTCGAGTGGTTTAGTTATTTCGGGGAATTTCTCGAATAAGGCGTGGAATTTATCGTCACGCGAATAAAAAGTGCCGAGGATTCGATACGCGTACATCGGAGTCTATTATATTAATACTATTCTTATCGTTATCCGTCATGTCAAATATATATATTAAAAATTATTATGAAAATATATGACAGACGTGGATAGATAAAACAATAGACTCACCGAATCGCCTTCTTTGAAAGATTTGACCGAGGTTGAGGCGTGTTCCAATATTTGGCTCACCAAATGTAGCGTGGTGTCGAGTTGAGCTTGACTATGAACACCGCTACAAGACTACGTGCCAATAGACCAATAAGATTCCGGTAGGCCAAAAATCAGAAGACAGATGATGGCTGTAGTCGAGATGTATTTGTCGGCGATCTCGTGGTATCGAAAGAATACCGAGATCGTGCCAAAGGAGTACAAGTGTGGTTACTGAGCGTAACCGAATTCGTACAAGTTAACGGGAGAGAAAGTATAATGGCTGTCATTAGCACAGTTAAACAAACGAGCACAGTAAAACAGTCACTGGTACAATTGGTTATAATAATAATTGTTTTCATCGAACCAATCGCGTTCTGTTGACAAAAGTAGGTCACTACAAGCGTTCACAGTTATATGATGTGATGTATATGTTCTGCAGAATACTGATGGACTTCTATTAACGGAATCCGAAATCTGTGATGAATAACATTGTTTGCAAAAAAGAGACTTATAATTACATTCTATTACCTGCTATTTGATGAAGTTATTGAATGTGATACTGCTAATTAAGTTTGCTTGTTTGTTTCAAGACTGATTTTATGTTTTTCAGAAT